GTAATTGTAACCAAACTTCCTGCAAAACAAATGTAGGATTTCCAAAGAATGTAGCCTGCATCTTTAGTGGATTAAAATTTCATTTGGCACATTATGTTTAGTAAAATATGAATGTGTAGCTTTAAATTTTAATCATAAATCAGAACAGAGATACATGAGAGGTGACAGAACTTTATGCACAGATGTCCATGGAGGTCAGGCAATGAAAGAGTGGCTCTAATTTCATTTAGTCACATCCATTTGTGGTGAAGCCATACTGAAGACCAGTGGATTTGGAAGGCTTGCAAAGGCAGCCTTGCCTTTGTACTAAAATGTTTACACTGTTTAGGGATAGCTGCATTTCACATCTATCAAAGGCCATTCAGTGACCTAATATATATAAAGTGCAAATAGACAAAGAGGCCTCCAAATCCAAAATTATCCTTAAATCCTTTGGTCTTCTTCGTCCAGCCAGATTTTCTGATCATTTGTACCAATCCCCAGATAAGAACATCTCTTTCCTTAATAGTGTGAAAATCAATAAAGATTTGGTTGTTCTGCAGAACTAACAATTATCAGTATGTTTGCCCTGGAATATCTAATGGGTGCTATAGAATTAGGTCTATAGCTGATTTCTCACTAAATTCACAGAGGCTACGATCTCACAAAGGTTGGTATCCAAAATATATTACATCAGGTGGCACAGCTTTATTTCCTTGATGGGTGGTAGGATGGTTTTTAAAAATCTTTAAATCACAGAGGTTTGAATACATTTGTTTAGATTGTCCCATTCAGCAATTGTTCTGGGCTTGAATGATGAAATGAGGATTTGTTTCAAAGTCCTTTCTCAACCCCAAAAGGAAGTTTGCAAGCCTAACTGAGGAGAGGATCATACATATTTGCTGACAAGGTCACCAGCTCACCGTTGAGCTACCTAAGTTTCAGTGAACTGATCATATTATTTAGTAGAGATTTAAAAACCCAGCATTTCCCTAAATGCTTTGAACTGCAACCCTAATCACTTCAAACTTATTTACTGTGATTCTGGGAAGGATAGTCTGTAATCTTAATCATCTCCAGGACTTCTTATTGGGAAAGGCTAGTTTAATCTATATTATAGCAGGTGAATAAAACTATTTCCATCCTGGCCAGACCTCTGAAAAAAAACAACCATGGAGATGATGATGTTTAAATAAACTTAACTAAACGTAGCATTAAAGTTTATCTACTTCTATCACAAATACACTCTCCATTAATGAATATATTATAATCCTTTATTTACTGGAAGTGTGGTGACAAGTGTTTAGCATTTTGGAGAACACTTGTCAATTGCTATTAAAATCAAGATTAATTCATATTAACGATATGCATTCTCAGTTCTCCCAAGTGACAGCATGCATTAGAACAACTATTGCAAGTAATTAAATTCAATACATGGGGGTCAAATATTTTTAAAAGCAGTATTTAAACTCTAAAGTTCATTTGAGAAACATGCATGAAATTCAGGTCATCTTGTTAGTTATCGTTTGAAAGTTTTATCTTAAATCTTTTGGGGGAAATTTGGGGAAATATATTGTTTTGCTTTTATTTTTCAATTTAAGTACTAAATGGCTGTTTATTTTAAAATTCCGTATCTGTAACCAAATAAACAACTTCCCTGTCAGATCACTATAACTATGAGCATGCCAGCTATTTTCTCCTTGCTTTTTCTCTTTTGCCTTCTAAATTTATTTTAAATATAAAACAGTGAAAATACAAAAATATTATCTGTGGATTTTTATTAGGCTTTTGAGATGTTCAGTAGTTTAGTCTAATTAGACAAGCCAAAAGCCTTTCGGAGATTAAGCAAATTGGACAACCCTTGTTAATTAGAACATAATTTAAAGTTTGAAATTATATCACTGATAAAGTAGCCTAATTAGCATCACAATATGGTAATAGTCTACCAAGACAGTCATGTGGAGGGCTGGTATGAACTCCTTAAAGGCTTGCAAGAATCTGTTTCCTTTCTATGATGTCATTAATAAAAGATTTCTATAGACTTCAGGCTTTCAATGGGTACATACAATTTATAGTACACACAATGCATTAGCCCATAGTGTGGCTTCTTTTTTTTTTACTATTATGAAAACTAATAAATTCGTCAAGCTGAATTAAGCATACAAATCAGATGAGGCATAACAGATTACATATTGAAGCACCATGTCTCCGGAGTCTAAATGAAATTTCAATCTAATAATTCCTTCCTGGCCCGGCCATAATTTGTTTAGAGATGTTGTTCCACTCCTTTCCAAGCACTGTTCGCACAATAATTAAATGATACTCAAGCTTTTAACTTTGATTTATTTCATTTCACTGAGCTGGCGACAGTGAGGGCTGATACAATGGATTTTCATTTATATATTTATTTCCTTGGAAATTACGAAGCCTACAGTCTGGGGCGAGAAACTCACTGAAGCTGCCTTGTATGAAATTAAAGAAAAATGCGAGGAGGGAGACGGGGAGAGAGAAGAAAAAAGCCTACTGCACTGAAATTAAAAGTAGACATAAGGTTGGGCTAATAGGTTCATAGAGTCGAGCATTGTGTCTCACGCAAAAGTCAACTGGATGTATTGGGAAAGGCCACAAGCGTGGGATCTGGTACTGTCCCAGCAATCATGTCTTAAAGTACCTATGATTCAGAAGGTTCACAATGGCCATCAAAGCAATAGCGTCTCGACGGTCTCAGCAGACATACCCGCCGAACCCCAAAGACGGTTCCCAACTGTCATGACCTTGATGGCCCATAAGACTTCTTTAGTTTTGAAATCAGAAAATGATGAACCTAAGCGTGGCTTCAGGCATAGCTCATGAAGTACTAAGGCGTCAAAGTGCAGAAGAGTTGCCCGAGGAACCCTGCATTCTGTAGATGAGGCGTTCGATTCCCACAGCGTTGCCGTCAGCTTGAAGCGCTTCAGTAGAAAGCTTGGGAATTCCTTTCAGAAATGCGTAAAGTCAAACTGGGCTCAGTTTAAAAAAAATAATAATTTAAAAAAAAGGGCTTGCTGGCGGTTGACAAGGAGCATAACCACCAGCGGTCTTCGCTGCAGCGGCTCCTCCTGCAGCAGCCCCTGCCCTTTAAGGCATCCACAGCAAGACAAAGGTTGACGGGCGTGGGAGTGACTGAAGAACAGGAGCAGCGGTAGCGGCGGCCACAAGCTCCGGCGTCGCCCCCGCCCCCCCGCTCTGGAGTAGGGGGGCAGCAGCAGGAGCAGCGAGAGCAAACTCCCAAGAGTCCGCGCGGCAGAATAAAATCGGGCGCCGGCAGCAACTTACCCGGCTTGTGCCAGCCGCTCACTCGGGCGGCGCCATGTGCTCGGGGGGGGGGGGGGGACTGTGTGTGTCGGCGAGGAGTCCTTTCCGCTGCATCTGCGCAATGGGCTCTCTTAGGGCATCTCTTCCCCGCGCCACCTCTCTAATTTCAGTGTGGTGGCTAATGAAAGGCGGCCATTCGAAGTGAAAGGCTTTTACAATTTCTCCATACCCCTTTTCTGCGTTTCGCTCCCACCCGTGTTTCTCTCAGCCGTGCCACCCTCGCTCCGCATCGCCCTTCCCCATACTGGGGCCGTCTACACGTACTTGACTTTCATTCCCTCTCACCCATCACCCACCCCGAAAGCTTAGGTTGTCTTGTCCGATGTTTGGAGGCCATAGGAGTTTTTAATTCAAGGCGTTTCGCAGGGCTGCGGTTTGGGAAAGGTTGTCCTGACAGGTACGGGTCTCCAAAGTTCATTCACCAGAAAAGGGGCGCGGAGAAGGAGCCAATTCAAAAGAAAACTACGCCAAAGCAGCATAATGATTTTTCTGACCTTTCAACCACAACAGCCCTTCTCCCAGGAAAGCTCAAGGAACGCTTCAGAGATACGTTCCAAACAGCGGGCCGTCCTCGGCAGACCCAGCCCTCCGCCTCCGAGGAGCCACCGGACGCCTCTCGAGCCGAATAAAGGGCCAAGGCGCGACTTTACCCGCGCTTTTTCTCCCTCACATTTCACTTTGGCTCCAGCACAGGCGGTTTGCTTTTTCCTCGAGTCCTTTCTCCCAGCTTTCACGTCACCACACAATCTCTCACACACTCTTCTCACATCGTTTTCACACCTCCCGTCAACATATTTCTCATGAAACTCCTTTCTGGTACGTCTCGCCGTTCTTTTCAGCATTATGTAAACGCCAGTCTTTTCATCCATGAGCGCACGCCCGCGTACCTACCCACGTGTATACACGTGGGGCAAGGATAATAGCATCGCGCACCCGGACGCCTTTCGCCACCGCCGCCAAGCTTTCGCTTCGCGCTCAGCGGCTCTTGCCGCCCCACACGGCTTTCGCAGGACGCATGCGCCTCTCCCCAGTCAGCCCCAGCTTTGCCGCCATCCAATGGGTGGCGAGGAGCGAGAAACAGAGGGAGAGAGAAAGAGTCACCCAGCGCAGTTACTCCGGGGTCTCTCCCGCGAATAGGCACCTGTCAGGCCGAGGTGTACCTCAGCCGGCGGCTGAAGGGCGGCTGAGCCAAGAACAATAGGGCGCCCCTCGAACTGGAGCAGGGCAGGCAGGAGTAACTGACAGCCGCAGTTAGGTTCCGAAGGCTTCGCTGGAGAGGAAGGAGGGGTATCCGGGTGGCAAAGAGTGGGGCAGGTGGAACGAGGGGACGTCTCGGGACCCTCAGCGGAGGACAAGAGGCAGGAGGAGAAGGGAAGACTGACAAGGATTTGGCCAAAGGAGGGGCGGGAAAAGACTTTCCCCAAAGAGTCGCGAGCAAGCGAGGGAGGGCGGGAGCGAGGAGCGTCCGGCGGGGTAGCTGTCGGAGCAGTTAGACGGCGGAGCGAGACGAGAGGTGGCGGCTGAACCGGCGGGGGAGAGCTAGGCAGGCGCCTGCAGTTTGTGCGGCGGAGGCTGCGACAACTTCTCCGCGCGCCTCTTTTCCCGCCTCGTCGCCGTTTTGTTCTCGCCGGCATTCCGGACTCGGACCCGGATCGCCGGCAGCCACGATGATGATGATGTCCCTGAACAGCAAGCAGCCCTTCAGCATGACTCATGCCAGCGGCGGCAGCCTTCACGAACCCAAGTACTCGGCCCTGCACTCCGCCTCGCCCTGCAGCTCCTCGGCTGCCGGCGCCGCAGCGGCTTCGGCCAGCTCGCCCAGCAGCAGCACTGCAGGCGGGGGCAGCGGCCGGAACAACGCTTCCAATAGCAACAGCGCCAGCAGCAGCACCTCCAGCAGCAGCAGCAGCAGCACCAGCACCTCCGAGGCCCTGCGCCGTGCCTGCTTGCCCACCCCGCCGGTAGGTCGCTCTCGGGGCCGGGAAAAGAAGAGCAGCGCCAGGAAAGAAGAAATCACCGCTCGATCTCTTCCCGGCCACACGCTTATTTCATTGGGAGGCGGCAAATCAGTCCGGCACCTCCCGCCCTCCCCCAAACCTACAGAGGCTTTCAAGGGAGCTCCCACGAACTAGTATAAACCAGGGTGCTAGTCCAGCCAGGCTATTTGCGGCTCTGTGTGTGCTTGTGTGTGTGAGAGAGAGGTGGGGGGGAGGGGAGAGAAGAGCTGCTTTGCGTTCCCGCTGTCCCTGGCCCTTACTTCGTCTTACCGCTACTTCATTCCTCATTTCTCCCACCCTTCACTCCCTTTGCTTTCTTTCATAATCTTTCTTTCATTACTGAACCATTTTTTACTTTCCTTGTCCCCCCTGTTATCTATCTTCTCATTCTCTTTCCTTTCATGCCTCCCACTTTATTTCGTTCCTTCCAATTCTCCTCCCTCTCTCCTTCCTTTCCTCTTTCTACCACCCTCCACCCTCATTTCAACAGGGACAGGGTTGGCTTGGATGGCACTCCAAGGAGAACAGAGTGGAATTCCCTCTTGGCAGCATTAATGTGTGCCTTTTATTTGCAATTTCAGAGCAACATCTTCGGAGGTCTAGACGAGAGTCTACTAGCCCGCGCAGAAGCCCTGGCTGCGGTAGACATTGTGTCGCCAGGCAAGAGCCACCATCACCACCCACCACATCACAGCCCCTTCAAACCTGATGCCACCTATCACACCATGAACACCATCCCCTGCACCTCGGCTGCATCTTCGTCCTCGGTGCCCATCTCGCACCCCTCTGCCCTGCCTGGTCCCCACCACCACCACCACCACCACCATCACCACCACCAACCTCATCAAGCTCTGGAAGGAGAACTCTTGGAACACATCACACCAGGACTGGCATTGGGTGCCATGACAGGCCCCGATGGTTCAGTGGTTTCCACACCAGGCCATGCCCCTCACATGGGCAGCATGAATCCAATGCACCAAGCAGCTCTCAGCATGGCGCACGCCCATGGGCTTCCCTCGCACATGGGCTGCATGAGTGATGTGGATGCAGATCCACGGGATTTGGAAGCCTTTGCAGAACGGTTCAAACAGCGGAGGATCAAACTAGGGGTGACTCAAGCTGATGTGGGCTCAGCCCTGGCCAACCTCAAGATCCCCGGGGTGGGATCCCTAAGTCAAAGCACCATCTGCAGGTTTGAATCCCTCACCTTGTCCCACAACAATATGATTGCTCTCAAACCCATCCTGCAAGCATGGCTGGAAGAAGCAGAGAAATCACACCGGGAGAAGCTCTCCAAACCAGAGCTCTTCAATGGGGCGGAGAAGAAGAGGAAACGCACTTCAATCGCTGCTCCTGAAAAGAGGTCCCTGGAAGCCTATTTCGCTATCCAACCGAGACCTTCCTCAGAAAAAATTGCAGCCATCGCGGAGAAATTGGACCTCAAGAAGAACGTGGTCCGAGTGTGGTTCTGCAACCAAAGGCAGAAACAGAAGCGGATGAAATACTCTGCTGGGATTTAGTCTTTGGAAATCTTTCTGCTTTAGGGGGAGGACATAAATATCAAAAAGACAGAAAAGATATTTCTCTTTCCTGGAAAGAAAGAGACCAAGCTTCAGAAAAAAAGAGGCAGATTGAGATGTGTTTGGACTGATTGGACAAAGTATCAAGTTTAGAAAGTTGGCAGCAGATTTTATCTGGTTTGCAGGCTCAGACTTAAATTGGCATCAAAGAGAGACTGATTTTTGTGAAGGCAGATAACTCTTTATAAAGGACGGAAGACATATCAAGTAAGAATTGTTTTTATTCTTAAAAAACATCACCTTTGCTGAGATGTAAAAGTACCCTTTACAGCTATTTTTCAGGATTTTAAAAAAAATTAAGTGATTAAAGAGACTGAAACTTTAATCTAGATTAGAGAGGCATCTTAAAAGTATTTTGATTTTTTAAAAAAATAGATGGCAGTTTCTCTGTCATTAGACAGCATATTATAAATATATATAGATATATTTTTACTGTGGTTATTACCCATTTCCTTCTCTGAAAAAATGCAGAGGGAAAATTTGATCCTGCTGTGCTTTTAAGAACTTTTAAGAGGTATTATTAGACTACTGCCAAACTCCTGTAAATTATTAATTTATCTCTCTAGTAACTTCATTTTGTGCTCATCCTAATTAATTGCACCTCTTTCATCAAAGGCCTGATTAAAAAAAGTAAAATAAAACAGTATGGTTAATGTAAATTAATTATTTTATGTTGGTTAGTAGAGTTTATGAATTTGTGCTTTTTTCCTTCTTATACAAAACTTCTTCTTGAGCCATTTGTATATGTCTCCAAAATTAAGATATGAGTATTCTTATTTGTGAGGCGTTCTCACTCTATAGTGGCTGTCTTGCGTTGTTTGTGTAGTCTGACTCACTTGTCCAAGGAGGTATTTGTTGACTGCGTTACATATTTAATGGGGATTCCCCCACATAGTTTCCACACCCTCCGCCACACGCACTACTTCAAAAAGAAGCACTTGAGTAGGTGACTGTGGTGGTTTTGTTGCTTTGGATTCCCTTTCATTCAAGTATTGTCTATTCCTGATTCTGACACTAGTTCTCCTTGTTCAGATCTCCTAGTTACTCTTTTATTCCCTTTGTTTGCAATAGATTTGCATTAAGTTTGGAGGTTTTAGAGGTAGAAAAGCCAAAACTACAGTAGAAAGAGTAAAGGAGTGAGACAGTGAGTGGACCGAGAGAGACAGTGCACTGTTTGTAAATCCACATTATTTGATATAATTCTCTTGGATCTCCCTTCCCCCACCCACAGGTACTTAGATTGCGGTACCATTATGTATTGTAAATGATTCATTTGAGACTGATGCACATACAATTATATTCTTACGGATTTCACTGTATTGCTGTTATGTTTAAAAGTTAATTGAAGTTTTACCTCTGTACATTATAACAATTTGTTTTGTTAATAGAAATTATTATTATGGCAATGTATTAATTTACTCAAAATGTTGTCTAATTGTCTTTCATTAAAAAATATTTTAACATTTTATTGACAAACCTATGTTTTTCAGGTTCCTTTTACAGGTATAGATTGTATTACTGAACCTGAAGCACTTCCAGAATGAGTATAGATATTTATTTATATGGCAACAGAGTTATAACATTCGTTGTTATTGCTAAATCAGTATGCTTAGGATCAGGGAATCAAACTGTGGGAGCTACTCCAGATTTAAATAGGTCTTGTTTTTTGGCTAATAATTCCAATATAGCTATTTTACTGATCAAACTATTTCATTTTTTTTTCTTATTTCACATTGAGAGACAACTAGATTATTCTTAAATATTTATATTTATTGGACAATACAAGCATTACTTTTTTTCTCCTTTATGTGAATCTTTAATATAGAGTTGGTCCTCATGAAGAAGACTTTCGAAGTGAGAATTGGTTTAGATGTTTTAGATAACCGGTTTGTAAAACTACAGAATGTTAAACAGGCAAAGGAGCTTAAGGAAGTTGGAAGGGAGCTTTTCAATCATCCTGTCTTGCTAGCTGGGTTGTGAAAGACGGTGGTGAGAATGGCTGAGTCTCAAGAATTCAGCACTATTAACACACCACTAAGCACTAGTCAGATTAAAAGATAGATGGAAATCCACAGGAAAGGATGGGCAGAAGAAAAAAAGCTTGCTTACTTACCTGTCCACATTTCCTGAAGCAATTAAAATGCTTTAAGAACTAGAAAATAACATTTATCTCTCCCATATCGAAACAAATCTGTCCCAAAGCTGGCTTGAAATATATGCTGCTGTGGATTTAAATACATCGACTAGGATGTAAAACAGACTTGTTCCCAAGCAAATGATTTTTAAGATGGCAATGTTGGAATAGAAAGATCAAATTGTAATCAGAATTTGAAATCAATTGTAAAAGATATTTCTATGGAAAAACTTCTTCAGCCTTCTAATTTAAAGCGGGGGAACCCTTATTCCAATAGAGAGAGAAAAGACACTCAAGGGAAAAGACTGAGAAAAGGTAGCAGATTGTTCTTTTTTTTACTCCACTTATACCAGATTCCCAGAAGAAAACATCCCCGCTTTTTATCTCCTCTTGTGTTTGATAAATGATCATAAATCGCCTGGATCAAGAGCTGAATTAAAGCTATACCATGAGATCAAAAGGTAGCCCTGAAAGAGTTATATAAATATCATGCAGAACGTGCTCTTTGTGCTATAAAGATCTAGCAACCAGAGCAAGGTATGCATCTGGCATATTCTGTCTTCTAGAGGATCAAACTAAGATGTATAAATTGGTAACCTTGTTGCCCAAGGAACTAAGGTCTTTGATGTAGCGAGTGTGAATTGAGACAATTGTGTGTTGTTTTTCGGGTTGGAATTTTTTTTTTTAAAAAAAAAAGAATCAAAAGTAGTCTGCTGTGAAATGCCACCTAATCCCAGAAATAGAAATTATAATCCGTGAGAGAACAGTAACTGAAAAGCTGCGTGCACGAGTTTGTGCGTGTGCAGGCGCATGAAGTGTATGTATGCATGCGTGCGTGTGTGTGTGTGTGTGTGTGTGTGTATTGAAATAGCCTACTTCCCCTCTCTTTCCACCTTGTATTTTTTGTGACAGCGATTAGAAAGCTACAGCATCTGCGCTCCGCAGCCAGTGCTTTCAGCACCAAGGACAGCTCCTCGGCGCTCTCTTCCTCTCGGTTCAATCTTGCCTGTTCGCCCGAGGCTCTCTCTTCCGGCTGGTGGAGGGAGCGAGCGAGCGAGCCAAGGCGAAGGAAAGGGAACGAAGGGAAAGAGGCGGAGTGTAGGGGAAATTGGGATGATAAAGGGGAGGGGGCAAAAAGGTGAAGGGGGCAGCTATTTTCTATAGAGACTCAGTCAAACAAAACAACATTTAATCATAGATTTCCCCCTCCCAAGTCTATTATAGCTATGCTTAAGAAAACAAAATAAGGCGGGGGGGGGGGGTCTAAAAAAAAACCCCGTGTAATATATTGACATAAATCCACAGGCTCTGGGCATCTGACTTACACAAGTTTAGGATAGCACCTCCCGTTCCCTCCCTCCACCCAAGAGTTCATAGGCGTTTTACTGCTGGGATGATGTCTCAGAGTATGACGGTCATTTCATTATTAGAAGGTAATACTTGCTCTACATCAATTTAGGAACCTGTGAATTCAAAGAATGAAATATTTCTCTATCACTTGCTTTTTAGATTGAGATCACTTTTACAAATGTTTAATCACAACACAGTGCAAAAGGATTAATTGCCTGATTCTAAAATCCTATTTCCCTAAGAGTTAGCAATTCCATGTCTGATAAACAAAATGTCAGTTGAAAAAAAAGCTACTTTCTTAAGATACAGATTATTTAAATGTGCTTAAGACAGTCGTGTTGATACCAAAGGGAAGAGTTAATCAGTTCTTTTCAACATTGCCATTTAATATTTATCTGCTTCTGGTTACCAAAATGTTATTTTGAAGATACTTTGAAAAACCATATGGGCATACTATTACTGGATGCTGCTTCTCTTTCAACCCAATCAAGTACAAAATCTTTCAGTAAGATCCCAAGAAATATTTGTGAATCCCCAGAACTGTGCAGCTTTTCTGGTCTAGAATCATTTAGATCTGGAGTAATTATTCTGAAAATTGGGCAGGGAGATCAAATGCTCAGATTGGGACTCTGTTTACACATCTCTTTTTCCAGGGTGTTGGACAGAAATTTAACTACAATATGAGTTGGCTTCTTTTAAAATAATCTTTGTGATAAACACACATGTACTAGTCCAGGTGGGGTCCTTTAAAATTGTCCCAAAGTAAACAGAACTTCAGTAAAAACTACATCCAGTTAAATTTAGCTGTACAAAGAAATTCTAGACAAAATTTATAAGGACTGAGATGTTACAATGGAATAACATTATCATGTTTCTACCTTGTGGACAAAAAAGGCAAAATACATTAACTGGTGTTTATATCAGAACTTGAGCAGCCAGCAAGGGTCAAAGAACTACATATGCATAGATAGCTCAGTAGAAAGCAGTCTAGGCAGCAAGATTTTTTTTTTAACAGTGCAAATCTTATATAGGAGGAGGTCAATAGGGCTTTTCTATGTAAGTGGAAAGAAGGATTCAGACTCTGTGATTTTACTCCATAAAGAATGCCTGACTTGATTGCTCATTTCTTCTACTGTCCAATAGGGAGCATCTGTGACCTAGAAATTTAAGAGTTAAATACAACTGCTAAGAAGTCATTATGGTCACAATATGGTTTTTATTTTTAAATTACCAAAGCAGTTACTGTTCCTTCCTGAAACAAAGCCAATTTGGAATTCATAAATACAGCCCACATTGAAGGAGAATAAGCATGACAATTGCATACCTATGCAGAGATGAAAGGCTCAATCAGGCATTTTGGAAACGTTCCAGAAAGCAAGTACAAAAAAAAATTCTGAAGAATGACAGAAGACCAGAGGCCTCACGTAAGTCCTGTGAAGTCTTTTATCTTTTCACT